ACTTCGATTGCACTGCGCTATATCTTTCAGGTAAGCTGGGCTTCTTCGGAAGCAGCATTCAACGTCCCAAAAACGGACCACATGACCCACCCAATCGTAGACCCAGGCAGTGGATGGGCGGCTTGCTGCGCGAGGCGTTTGCGCAGGACTCGCTTGCATTCGCTTGCCTGCTGGGTTCCAGGTGCACTTCGAGACATCGGATCCTAAACAGATCATAAGAGTGAGGGTGAAAGTTTAGTTTAGTGTGAGCTTCGAAAGGGTCCAGGATTTGGTCTTGTTCGGTGTTCTTGAAGTGATTCGCCGTATAGACCTGGCTGAGCTGTACGAGTTTCGTTTTGCGCGGCAGCTGCGCTGCATTATGCACATCTGGCCCGGCGACATACCGAATCTACATGCATGCCAGCATGCTCAGGGCGTCGGATTGTTGTGCAAGTGCTGATTTCGTACGAGAGCAGCCTTACAGCCGCTTAGGGGCTTTAGAGATCGCGCCAGGAAACAGGCGGCCTGCGTCGCGACGATGCTTGGATCGTTGCCAACCGCATCGATCAGCTCCCAGAATTCTTTTGCAAGGACTGGCTGCTTCAAACTACAGCACCAAGCCAGGGGTCCAGGGGGGTCGGGCAGAGGGTAGACTGCACTGTAGCGGTAGAAAGGACGAGGAGAGGGGCACAGTTTGCTTCGCAGAATTACACGTCATCCCCCGGCTTCTATTCAAGAATCGTTTTGTGCCTCTGGGCCCTACAGCCTACCCTCTGAAATGCAGCCTCAAACTCCGGACGGCGCGCCAGTGAAGGACGGGCCAAAGGATGTCTGCAAGAAGGTCTCGCAACGACAATACCGCAACCACAAGGACGTGATCGTTTCCGAGGACTGAAGCTTCGGAGCATTGTAGAAGCCCTGTCTCACGGGGACGGAAGTAAGCTTGATAAGGATCCTTAGATCCGCCAGGGCGTGCTCCTCTGGTTATTTCCCGAAGCTGCTGTCTCTCTCAAGAGATCATGCTTTTACCTGTCAGGATCACGTTATCCCGATCTCTGCGCGGCTCTCGCTGCTTGCTATGTATGGCAGAGAGAAGGCACGCTGTCATCCGCCATTCAAGGTCAGCATGAATGCGAAACCGTGGACTCCGAGACCCCACAGCCATGAAGTCAAGATTTCCAGACTGCGGCATGCCTTGGGAATTTCCGGTCTGCTTCCACCAGCTGTAGAATGGGCCGGTCTCAGTGTAGATCGAAAGCGGCTTCCTTTTCTGTGACGAACTGTTCGCGACAGGGTTTTTGCTTTGAGAGGACCAAAAGTACCAGCAGTGCTACTGGCAAGAGTCATAATGGGACACAGCAACAGCAAAAACAAAAGCTAAGTAACAATTGTGCCACAAGTAACATCAGTAAGATACTGCTCAGTCTGCCAAGTGAGGAAGCAAGCCGTGCATGAATGAATAGAACAATGTCACGCCAGACAGTAAAGTTGCATGTAGAGATAACCGTAAGCGATGTATGCTAGGCCCCTCAGCAATGCACAATGATGTAATGCCATGCAGCACTAGCAGCAAAACCACGGAAACGACAAGATGCACGTACACGCGCACGCACTATACATGGAGCAAATAATTGTCACCAAAGGGTGATTGTAAAGGTACAGTAGCCAGCTGTTTTAAATCACGCATGTTGTGTTGTGCTCCCATAACAGCAGGCATACCAACACATTGCGATTCATCGGGATTTCTTTATAAAGCGGCATTGAGGATGGAGGGCAGCTGAAAAGCTGTAGGCAAATGGAGGTGCGAAGTGCGACAGCCCAGGCTGCAAGATCGCAGTGTGTTGTTAAACGATCGTGCTAACTAACCACTGGTCAACAGCCCCGTGAGGTTCGGGAGCCCTTGTCTGCGCAGCTTGTAGCCCGCTTCGATCGGCAACCATGGTTTGGCGCCCAGTCGGTTTTTCGGGTTTACGGCTGCTTAATGTGGTTCAGGTGCGCTTTCGGTGGTTGGGGCAAGGAGTAAAGAGGAGGAAAGTACCGAGAAGCGAATACAAGGAAAGGATTGTCCAGTTCAGCGAATGCGGTTGGGGGCTTTCTTGAGAGGCCGCCTGATAGTGCTGACATGTGTTAGGTCCTCGTGCAGGTATTTTGCACAAGCCCGTTGTTTGGCGGCCGTCTTAAGGGTGGTCTTGATGTACATGCAGTTACTTCCACTAGCACAACCTTGTGCGAGATGTCCGCTGCAGGTTTGCCCAGCTTTGCTCGCTGATCTTCGGCATCCAGTGGATGACCAAAGCCTGTATCTGAGAGTTAGGACACACAGACATGACATGCTCCTCGGCGTAGGAGTGAATCATTGGGCAGGCATTCTTTTCACCGCTTTTCTGCTTGCTATTTTCCGTAGCAACAGAAGGACATCGGAAATCACTGGGCTGTTTATGTAGCAGTTCTCATTCTACTATCATGACACTACAGTGACATGCTTGCTCCGGAAGTGTTTTGCAAAGGTCCAAGACTTGGAGCAAACGAAATGGCCGTACCCTCAGTTTGTTCCGCTCGCCATAGGCGACGAGGGTAATCCTTGTCTGAGCACAGCCATGCTTAAGCGCAATTAGAACCTTTTGCAAATAGTGTTTTCATGGGTTGCATATAGGATCCTGGAAGAAGACTTCTTGAGATTCCTGTCGTGCTCAGGATTCCATAATGCCCATCACAAGCAAACACTCCCTGTGACTGTGCAAGTCCGTGCGACGGCGAAGGTCGCTCCTAGATAGGCTCTAAGATGCCATTACCCTAAGCCACATCAGGATCAAAGCCCCTGAGGCGAAACTCCATGCGAGAGCTCCACCTGATGGGACAGGTGCGGAGACGGCAGTTTTTTTTGGATTTTAGCTGCGATGCTTCCGATCCGTGTGTGGCAATTTCAGCTGCAAGGGAGACTACGGAACCCTGTGTACGATGTTGTCCGAAAGCTGCACTCCTCAAAGCTGCGGTGGCCAAAAGCCGAACTCGAAAGCCAAGCATCGCAGGTGACCGGGCCCCTGGCAACCAGCGTTCTGAAGACGGCCTGCCTTGCTTTGTTTGCGTAGCTTTTCTGACAGATTGAGATTTCTTCGGTGGTTGAAGTTTTCGATCGAGTGGCCGCACATTTGCCCAAGGACACGGAAGCTTGCTGTGTCCTCATCAAGTGGTGATTTGGAACTTCGGTATGCGCGCTTGACACGGCAGCAGTTTCGACACATGTACATGCAGAGGTGCGTGCATTGTGAAGCTAATTTGTGTTGTGCTACGATGAACAGAAGGTCTCCTAAGAAACGGACACCAGATCCGCAGGCCTATGTGAAGATGCTTCCCCATTCTGTCGAACGAGTCATGCTGGAGCTTTCGCTCCTGGTCTCGCCGGGGACTCGCCATGGCTCCCGTAGCAGTCAATAACAGCCGTACGGCTCGCATCGCAAAGACTTTCGGGCCATAAACCCCGTAGCATTCCGTAGCCGAAGGAGTAAGAAGGTCGAGTTGGCGTCTTGTGCCATGCACAAGAAATTTCGACGTTGGCTTTGGCAAAGACAGTTTCTTGCATTTATGGCGCCCCGAGCATGCTTTGTACATCGTTGGCAAGCTGGCAGCGGCCTGGTGGAAAGCCTTACTTACTTGCTCGCTGCAGAGTCTTCGGATACAGCTTGAGGTCTTTTTGCTCGGCCCTCCACAACTTGGATGGCACGTCGGCCACGATTAATGCCGGCACCCTATTTTTGTGGCACAGCAGCAACGGGTGCTATGCTTGATTTTGGAGCGAGACTCCCAAGCCATGCCGCCCGCCGGCCAGTCTCAACTTCGCGCCATGGAGTCGGCCTCCAGTAGGGAGCAGCCGAACCTACAAAGCATCTCTGCGACCAGCTCCAAGTCGCTGCCTGCGAGATATGTATCGAGGCCTTCGCTTCACATGCAGCGTTAGCTAGCTGTCACTAGCTGCAAGAGACGAGTCCGAGTCTTGGCGCCTCTGTCAGCCATGGGACCACCTGCCAAGCAGCCACAATGGCTCCTGGGACGGCAGTTGTCCTGTTTCGAGCATCGAGATGGCTGACCTGGCTTCGTAAACCAGGTCTTGTCCGATTTTGTACGAAGCCCTTCCAAACTGCTCAGACTGCTGAATAATTACCGTCGATCCACGTGTTGTCCGAACATCTTCGACTTCTTCAACGTTCGCGTCGACTGAATTCAGTTACTTCACGTGATTTCCTCACATGCTCTAGCACAGTTAAACTCAGAGCGTGCCAGCATCGCCTGACGAGGATGGTGCCACATGAAAGGGAGCTCTACCACGCGGCTATCCACAACGACTGGAAATCCGACACGCGGCAGCTTTGGACAGCTGTATGATTATGTTTGTATGCATGCATGTGCATGTACACACTGTAGCAGGACTTTGAAGGGCTTCGGCACTTAGGTAGCGCGAAACAACAAGGATACATGCGTCGTTCTTGTGCATAGCGCGCACACACAACAGCTGCCCGCTGTTGCCGCCAATTGCCAGCATCGCCTTCATCCCCAAATCTAAAGCTTCCCCCTCCTCCTGCGAAGTGGCTACGGCTAAGACTTAGGATGGGAACTCGGTCCCTGGAACCTGACATTCCTAAAGCAAAGTACAAAAGGTGAGGCGGCTTGTACAGCATGGCCTCCGGATGGACTCAAAGGCAGCGGAGCAGGCTCAAGGGCTGTAGGCTAGGGATATGATATATGCATCGTGCGCAATTGCCCTGTAGATCTGGCTGCGTTCGTTTCGCCACAGTGTCGGTTCCCAACTGTGCTTGTAATGAAGCTTTCACTAAACCCAAAGCCTTCACTTTCGCCACGACTGTAAAATGGATGTCTTTCCGGAGATGCTGCTGCTCGGTGCTTGGGTCTGTTCTGACTCAACGCGACTTGATGGCGCTATACAGAGCTGGCTTTCGCGTTCGCTCCGCGGTGTTTGCCGTAATTGTCATCCAGTAGCCTTGACTATTGCAGCACCCTTCCGCTAGATGCTCCTGCTCTCTGCGAGCCGCGACCGGCACCTCGACATCCACATGAGCATAGATGAATTTGGCTTCGGGTCTTCATCGGGTTGTTGTCCGGACACACGTGTGCTTGAGTTGGAGTTTGGGGTCTATGTTCTAGATATGATTGTGTAAGGCTGGCCCATGCGGTGTGTGCTCGTTAAGAGGGATACGCTTGAAACAGACATGCACCTGGCACCTAGGTGGGAGCCAGTCCGGATAATCGTAGAAGGCGGCTGTGCCGCTTGGACTACCGAAGGTCCTCTATTTTCAGTCTTGGAGGTGAGTCAAGACAAGGGTTGCATTCTATAGCTTATGGTTTCGCAGCAGACAACAACGGCAAAACTTAGGTGTATGCCTCAAGATTGTTGAATCAAGCAGAGGAGCTAGGGTGATTTTCTGTTTGCCAACAAGTCAATTTTCAGAAAATTGCTAGTCCTGCTAGTCTGCATGTCAGAGCATCAAGAAGACTTGACATTTTCTTGCCACATCACTCGCCCCCGCCTTCACCCCTGTATGCGGACCTGAACAATTACTTGTAGGTAGAGAGCTATTCCCTCATAGGTCCGATATATTCAAAGCATACATCCCCCCCTCCCCACTTCCCAAAAGTCCTTTCCCTATCCTCAAAGGCAAGGCCCTTATACTGCTTAAACCCTGAACCCCTGCCGAGCCCAGACCGAGGACTTCCTCCGTAACCTGAACCTCACACCTGGACATGACTTCGCCTTATATAGGATAGGGGCCTTCCTGATTACGTATACTCCTTTGGGGGTTCCTTATTATAATTATATTATAATGGGTTCCCAAAACCCTATTCTAATTATTAAGGCTCCTATATTAGTATGTAAGCAAGACCTTGGGATGCGAGGCATACTCTAATCTCCTGCAATATACTCCAGTATATCGCCTGGTGCCGTAGCATACACTATCATACACCGTTTGTAAGCTTGCAAGTGGACAACAAACCCTGAAGCCAAGCTTGAGGCCATTATGGGTAAGCCCTACAACTGCAAAAATCCCTGAACCCCTCAAAACTCTAAGGGATGAGGCACCCCAATAAAGACGACTAAACAGTTGGACCTACTTAGAGGATCCTGGGATTTGAGGTAGCTATACTCAAACATATTCAAAACCCCAGTGAAGCCAAGTAAACCTTACATAAGCCCTAAACTGGTATCGTATATAACCCTTCAAAGGGACCCTTAAACTTATAGAACCCCATCCCTAAACCCTAAACCCCTAAACCCTAAACCCGTACCCCGATATTGCTCAGGACCTGAGATCCACCTCGGGTTCTCGCGCCTTGCTGCTCGCGGCGCAGCGCGGGAACTGGGAGGCTGGTTGCCTAGGGAGCCTCGTAGGAGCGAGGGTTTAGGGTTTAGGGTTAGGGATCTTGGTGGTAGGTTTCGCTGGGTTGTTCGTATTTTGATAGGGTTGGTGTCGATGGGATTTGGGTTGGGTTTTTCGGACTTTGATAGGATTGTCTTGATGGGATTATCGCTTGGTTTTTTTTGGTAGGATTCCTTTTTTGTTGTGAGGCTCCGTCAGTTCAAGGAGCAGATTGAGCTTTAGAGGGTATGGCCAGAGTTCAGGCAGCCGTGCTCTCAGCGGCCGTGACGAGATGTTGCCTCGGTGGAAAGAGTGGCCAGTCAACATCGGAAGTCATCCAGTTGTCCGGCTGCTTCTATTGGAGTGTAGACTGTGAGAGGCAGCAGCTAGCGCAACCGGCGCTGCCTGTCTCCAGTTGGACAGTTTCGGCTTTTCTGCAAGCGTCCTCATGGTGCAGACGAAGAAACCATGATTGCCCTGAACCCTATAAACCTTAAACTCTAAATCAGCGACCCTAAACCTTAAAGCCCGAACGGCCTGTTGATGATACGGCCATTCGTTGCAGGCAGTGCAGGCGCTGCCAACATGTAGACAGTTTTATCAGTCTGAACAAACTTCAGAGCTGGTGCAGAGGCAGTAGGTCGTAGGTTTGGAGGTTCCTGGTTAAACCATATCTGCTGTAAGGAAAAAAGGCCCTAAACCCTAAACCCTAAACCCTAAAAGCCTCCTATAGCCCGAAGCCCTCGCCAGGCCGTGCAGCTGCTGGTGGAGCGAGGCCGGACGCTTACTCGCCTCAGCCTTTTTTTTTGGGGGGGGGAGGGGGGGTGGGCGGAATACCTGCTTCCCTAGAGGTTGCTTCTTCTCCCTGTATCCTCTTGTAAAACCTACTTCAAGTGTGAGGGCCCCAATAGTAGGACGCCGGTCTGGCTCTTCAAAGATGGTTTATTCGGATTTTACACGTTGTTGCAACGATGTTCGGAAGTACTTTAGCATTGCCGGTACGATTTTTCAACAGCTGTGTGATGTGTTCAAGATGGTCCTGCCTCCGCCCACTCTGCCACAAGGTGCCGACCTCTCTTCCGACGCAGCGCTGCGGGCCTTCAGTGCGGCTGCCTCTGCGAATCGTGTGGAGCCCTGGGTTGGTTCGCCTGTAGGGTTAGGGTGTAGGGACTTGTTAGGGCGCAGCTGCTCGATCCAGATTGCGGCTAGGCAGCTGGGAAGTTTGGCATAGGATTTCTCGCAGGACTGTGCCAGTATGGCTACTTCCTGTGTACATTGGCCTTTGCAGTTGCTGGTTCTCCAAGGTACGAGCAAATTGACATAGAGACCCAAACTTTGCTCTGAACGACCGCACGATAGCTTGGAGCATGGTTGGCGGGGGTGAGTTCGGACTTGCGGCCATGCGAAGAGCACAAGCTGGCCGTACAGAGGGCCATCAGGCTGAGTTTTGCTGAGGTAGAGGGGTGAAGGTGAAGGTACCACACTTCCTTGTTTCCGAGCACGTAGCCCAGACCGTTGCTACGGCTGCGCGGGGCCACCGGTTCCGATTTCAAAAGCGAAGAGAAGAAATCACCCAACCCGCCTCCAGCAGACGATCTTGAATCAGATGGAGTCTTGCATGCTTGACGGATAGCCCCGCCCTTCCCTGCATAGGAGTCTGTGGCGAAGTTCTTGGAGCACGGCTTAGACCTTTCATCCTGGGGCGGCAGGAAGGCCTCAAATGCTCGAGTAAGCCTAGATGCGTTTCCAGAGCAAGTCGTAGGGGGTTTCAGGATACGAGGAGCTTCACGGAGCATGTAGTTGGAGCACCGGATCGTCATGCGAAGCGAGCTCCCACGGTTAGTCAGCAGGTTCATGCGCATTCATGCGCCATAACGTCGGAGCACCATGAGTGCAAGCCGTCTTGTGGACCTGATGCCGTGCACGCACTTTCGCACTCATCGTGAGAGAGAGGCCCCAGTATTATTGTGCACAGTTATATCATAGATGTGCGGACGAGAATACGGTGCCAAGAATTGCAGACGGAATGCATGTGCAGGCTCTCGTCGAAGCTGCCACACACGGGTACCTGGATGTGGTCGAACACCTGGTGTCGACCCCAGTAATTTCAGGCAGCAAACTGTTAGAGCTCAGTGAGAACTAGATATGCAACGAAGACAACTGTGACAGCCGAGCTATGCGTTTCTTTATTTTCTGGCATTTAAGAACTATGAAATCCCGCGAAGAATTGTGCTACTCCCTAAGCTTGGCCCTAAGCACTAGACCCCACAACTCAAAACCCCAGGCTCAACGCCCTTGCACCCATAATCCTAGGCCCAATCCTTTACCCCAAGCCATTGCTCGAACTCTCAGTTTATAACATCCTCCGACGGCCACCGCTGACATGAAACGGACACCTTTCCAGGTGCGCAGCAAGGCCGACCTGAGATCCTTTGCCACGCGGCAAAACACGAGACCCACCATTGGTCCGTTCGCCCCAAGCTGCAAGACAGATAAAGTGGAAGAAGAGAGTGAGTGAGAGAGAGATATATGCCGTGCCCCTACACCATAGCCCTGGCGAAAGAATCATACACATATATACCTGTAGGTAGATAGATAGATAGATAGATAGATAGATTTGTATGCACACGGGCATACACATACCTACCTATACAAACAAACAAGCAAACACACAAACATGCATACGCACATACATACATACATACATACATACATACATACATACATACATACATACATATATATATATATATATATGTATAGTCGCATGTAGTAGGTCTTTGTGTTGCATTGTGTGTTTTAGTTGTTGCTTGGTTGTTTGCATGCTTGCTTTGCCTTTTTTATTTAATCGTACGCGTGCGTGTGCATCACATGATACAGGCATACACATATACATGCCCACAAGTATCATAGATACACATGTATTCAGACATAATATTTATATATACATAGAGACAGAGATGCATGGAAGCGGCTCTAAGGCGGGTCGACAAGCGCTGTTGGCTGCCGCCGCAAAGGAGCACACAGATGCCGCTGGCTGATTGATAGCTGGTCAGCTGGTCCAAGCTCGACAACAAAAGGTGTGCGTACAGGAAGTCTTTATACCCAGAAAAGCATCATCGCGGCCAATGCAATTGTCACAAATTCATGCAGCACTACAAACCAGAGTAGCTGCTCATCCGAAAGGAGAGGCAAGTCATGCTTCCGAACAAGCTACTGTACCACGTTTGACCTTCCACCTCAGGTGATGCGCTTTCTGGTCGTGAGTGGAGTAGATGTCACCGGAGATGTTGGAGATGTGGTGATGGAGACGGCCGTAGCTCGGCTTGCAATGTATGAACCTGCCTCAAGCCTCCTCTAACAGCACTATAGATCTAGTCGGCAGCCACTACTGAGTGCATGAGCATTGTGACCTTCTCGCCCATGTCAAGGCCTAGATCGTAGAGTCATAGCTTGTTCCATCCAGCATTACTCTTGCCAAGTAAATTTCGAGTTATGTATACGAATAAAAGCTGTATTCAGTTTATCCCACTTGTTTATGCATGTATGTACATACATGCACACATACATATACAGGTATGTACACGTAAAGACACTCATGCAAACCAAAAACTCAAATATTGCGAGAGCTGATACCAGCAATCCTTCGTCGAAATCCTGAGACTCTGTCGTTCGTGCAGAGCAGGTGACGTCGACCATACTTAGCCATACTTTTGACTGCAGGATGGCGCAGGTGCTTTGGGAGTATGAATTCAGCATGGTACCGAAGCAGTTCAGAAATCATGTCTAATTCTAGCCACGCAGAGAGGCGGGGCGCAACGACTTGCATTTGCTGCAGCACCTTCTGGACAAGGACGGTTCAGTCGACATGCAACTGCAGTACGCTAAGCACGACCCACCGTTGTCTCCTTTCTCCCGTGAATGTAGCGAGCCAGCTCGTACACACAGCATCTGAGAATGACAAGCCATGATGCAAAAGGCAGAAGGGGCCATCAGCTTGCACGCGGCCAAGAATAAAAGAACAGGGACGGCCTCCACAGGATGTGGACTTCACCCGTGGGGTGGCGCCCAGCAGCCCAACTGCAGTGAATTAACAGACTTCCAACAATCGTCAGCCCCTAAACTCTCTGTACTCTAGACTCAGATACAGATCTAGAGACAGATAGAAGAATAGATACACCTCTACAGCAATACACTGTGGAGCCGGTGTTTTCAGGGTTGCGAGGTTTGGAAAACAAAAACTGCCGAGGGTTCAAGCTTGGTTCATCGTTGGAGTGGTTCCATGCTGCTCCTTGAATCCCAAGGCGGTACCAGAAGAAAAAACCCTAATCCCTAAACCCTGAACCCTAATCCTTAAACTCTAAACCCTAAACCCTAATCCTTAAACCCTAAACCCTAAACCCTAATCCTTAAACCCCGTGTTTCGGGTGTCAGGTGTCGGGCTTCTAGGCTCCGGCATGTCGGACTCGGACTTTATGAATGGACCACCCTTTAGGG